TGTGATAGTGGCATCATCAAAGAAAATGGAAGATTGAACTGCAAGAAAATCAGCATCAAATGGAAGTTATCTTGAACCCATGACAACCTACAATACTTTATGACAACAAAAGAACTCATGAGATGACAAGTGAGATGATATGCAGATGTACTAGTGCACCACAACTTCAGAATATGATACTGTAAAAGAACTGAAAATGCATGAATCAATGCACTAAGTTGAAGACCAGACTTGATGAAAAAGAAAAGAAATTCATGGACACTCTTTATGAAGTTAGAAGGAACAAAGAATATAATTCTGGATCAACAAGCTCTAAAAGCAATAAGAATCAAAGCAGAGAAATCAGACATCAAAAGAAAGATCAAGAGAGTCATAATGAAAGATGAATATGCAAAGAAAATTGACAATGAAAACAAGAATTTCAAGAAGAAAGATGGAATGATACTATATCATGGATTGATATATATATCAAGAAAAATTAGAAAAGAAGTGATGGTACAAGAACATGACACAGTCACTTCAGAACACTTTAGCATTGATAAGATAATGAAGAAGATCATAAGAATGTACTATTGATCAGAAATGTGGACAGACATTTGACAACATGTCAAAGAATGTGAGACATGTGCATGAAGCAAAATCAACAAGCAGCAATCACACAGAAAACTACAGCCAATATCACAACTGCAAGAATCATGAAAATCTATAGTGATGGATTTTATTGTGAAACTCCCAAAATCAAAGAATATGAATGGAAAGAAGTACAATGCAATGCTAGTGATTACTGACAGACTAATGAAATATGAGTACTTTATACTGTTCAAAGAAACAACAGATGCATCAGAAACAGCACAAATGACACTAAAGACAGTGATTGTCAATTACAGATTGTCAGAAGAGATAATTACAGACAGAGACACAAGATTCATGAGCAAATTCTGAACAACATTAATAGCACTACTAGTGATTGAACAGAAGATGTCAACAGTCTATCACTTACAGATGAATGATCAGACAGAATGATTAAATCAGACTTTGAAATAATATCTATGAGAATATGTGAACTATCAGCAGAACAACTGAGTTGAACTGCTACTGATGACACAACTAGCATACAATGAGTTAAAGAACACTACAACAGGACCGACACCCTCTCATCCGTCTAATTACAGCAGAGAATCAGAAAT